TTCTACCTAGAAGGTGCTCATTGGAAGAACTTGCCCCCGAAAGAGCCCATAACCCCAATGCCAAGGTATTCCATCATGGAGACCCCGGTACTGAAGAAAGAACTGGATAGGTTGGTGTTGTTCTTGAAAACTTGCTCCTGAGTGGTCCACTCCCTCCTGTGAGCGTCCAGGCTTTAGTGAGGCCGGAGATGAAGGTCCTGCTGTGGGGCTCTGGTAGCAGGAGCCGCTGGGGGTGGGAGAGTGTGTGACGTCTGGCTGTCCGCACACTGTTCCCGGAGAAGCTAAGAGAGGAGACTCCGTCAGGTGATCCATCGGGTGACAGGTCTCCATGAGCCATGTGGATGGAAATGGGACACTTGCCTTAACAGTCTGAATAAGGAGATCTGATTTTTTAAAAGAACATCAAAACTATCACATCGCAATCAATGCTGCTCCTCACCTTGGGCACAGAAGGTGTTCTCACTACCACCATCGCTCAGAACCTGGGAATGGCCCTTCTGGAATATTCTTCAATGTAAGCTCAGTTGGCCTGCAGAGTAGACATCTCTGAATGCTCACAAAAGTCAGGCATTTAAGATTTCAGTTACACAGGGGCGCCTGGGTGGCGCAGTCAGTTAAGCGTCCGACTTCAGCCAGGTCACGATCTCGCGGTCCGTGAGTTCGAGCCCCGCGTCGGGCTCTGAGCTGATGGCTCGGAGCCTGGAGCCTGTTTCCGATTCTGTGTCTCCCTCTCTCTCTGCCCCTCTCCCGTTCATGCTCTGTCTCTCTCTGTCCCAAAAATAAATAAAAAACGTTGAAAAAAAAATTAAAAAAAAAAAAGATTTCAGTTACACAAAGCCATTAATTTAATTTGTTGATAACTGTTTGCTCTTTGCTGAAGTTCACCTGTTTCCCCATTCAGGTTTGGCGTCCGCCCTCTACCCAAACGCCAGATGGTCCTGAAACTGAAGGAGATATTCCAGTACACTCACCAGACTCTGGAGTCAGACTCCGAGAATGAGAGCCAGTCCTCACGGGTGCTCCTGGAGGCGCCTCACAGCCAGACCCAAGCCAGCAAGACGTCCAAGGGCTCCTCCCATCAAGAGAATCCTCCTGGTGGAAGCCTCCCTCCAATGAGCAGGGAGGAGCCTCCAGACCCTGATGGTGACGCCCAGCTCCCAGCCTCCCAGGAATCCGTGGCCTCCTCCGTGGACAGCAGTGACAGTTCCTTTAACTCACAAAGGTAACGGGACCAAAGGACAGGGCGAGTGGCTTCATAAGTCCTCCAGCCAGTGGGTCCATGAGTTGGCGGAAGCAAGGCCTAATGCCGATGTTGAGAAAGCCCAGCTGCCTTCTGCATTTGAACTGTAGGAAACCCAGCTGGGGTTACGGGCAGTCCCCTGTGAGCCTCCTGAGCAGACCTCTGGGGCTCCCGTATCCTTGCCCTCAGGATACTCTCGTGAGGGGACGGGGCTGGCCTTCCCGGTAGCACCTGTTGCTGCTGGCAGTAGATTCTGGCAGAGGGTAGGATCCTGCCCCCGCCGCAGCAAGAATGGCAGGATTGCAGCGGCCTGGAGCTTCCTGCCACCCTGGGAGGTCATCCGTGCCACGTGTTGGGCTCTGCAGGGGACACAGAAACGCTCTTTCCCTCAAAGAGACTCCTGGTCTCGGGGTGCTGTAGAGGAGGGTCACAAAATGTTTTTTGTCTGGTTCTTTGCAGTTCTTCCTGTGAGTTTGGAGTGGCCTTTGAGTCTGCAGGGGATGAAGAGGATCAAGAGGAGATAAGTGCCTCACAGACGGCCGCCCAGGCGGCAGCCACGGAGGAGGCAGTGAGGCGCTACATCCGCTCCCGGCCGGCCCTCTACCGCAAGGTCCTGCTCTATCAGCCCTTTGAGTTGGCCGAGCTGCAGGCCGAGCTGAAGCAGCATGGCATCCGCATGGCCCTGGGGAAGCTGCTGGATTTCCTGGATGCCCACTGTATCACCTTCACCACCTCCGCGGCCCGGAAGGAGAAGCTCCAGAGGAAGAGGCGGCAGCCCGTGGGCAAGAAGAATCGGGGCAGGGCAGCGGGCCGGTCCGCCCCTCCCCACCCGCGGCCGTCCGCAGCCTGTGAGCGTCTGCAGCCCCCCGCGGCGAGCCAGGCCTCCACGGGCATTTCGGGGCCTGGGGACCACATCAACCCCCCGTGAAAGTGACGATGGCACCGAGTTGGTCGGCTTTCCCCAACTCCATTTCCACGGTCCTCAGGGCCCCAGCCCCTTCCTCTTGTCAGTGCCCATGGTTTGTCTCCCTTTGTCTCCCTGTGACCCTGCCGTGGGTGGCCACCGGCTAGCCAGGACGAGGTCTTTCGGGTACAGGGTGTCCTCGTCCTGAGGTGGACATCCAGGGCCAGCTTGCCCTTGCCCTGCCTTCCTTCTTGACACTTGGCCATAACCCCAGCCTCCACCAGCAGACCAGGTGCCCACAAGCCTGTCACTGCCACATGTTAGGTGCTCTGCTGGCCCACCCATCCCGCCTAGATACCTGTCATAGTCACTAGCAGCCTCCAAACTGGGCAGTGCGGGCGGGCCCGGCTTTGCCGGGTATGTGGGGGAAGCCATCTCCAGCCTCGGGAGCGGTGTGGAGTATGGGCGAGGGCCAGAAAAGAGGAAAGGTCTGGGTCTCTACATCCATGTGAATGCCTTGTCTGTTTTAAATACGGTGCAGTCCATTTTATATGATGTGCAATAAAAACAAAAACGCTGTATAAAAAGTTTCCAGATACTACACTCTAGAAGGATGAGGGAAGCTGGCTGGCAGCTGCCCCCACACCCACATCTGCAGGTCTCTGTGACGGTCCTTCATTGCAAGGGGTGACCCAGGCCTGCTGGCTCATTGCTCTTTGGTTCTTAGGTAAGAGGTGTGTGCATTCGTTCATCCATGACTGTGAGTCCGTAGACCCACACTAAGCCCCTACCAAGCAATGAGCTCCAGCCCTCAATGCTCAAAGTGAGGCCTGGGGCCCAGCAGTGTCACCCCAGGGTTGGGGGGGGGGGTTGTTACAGATGCAGGCTTGGGCCTATCCAGACCCACCGAGTCAGAATCTGCATTTTACTACGATGAGTTTGCAAAGCCTGCCCTGGCCTCTGCGCTGGGCCCTGTGGAGAGAGGTCAGACACCAGCCATCAGTCATCAGACTAGGTCTAGTCATCAGCCAGACCCTGGCCTGTCCTGAGCTCGGTCAGTGCTCAGGTGGCCCCCAGCGATAGCCTCCCGGAAGAGGGGCATTGTGAGCTGGGCCTCAGGTGCATGCAGCATTCAGGGAGGTCAGAGGGGCTTCTTGAACACGTACTGTGTGTCCTGGTTTGTGCCCTGGGGAAGAGGGCCGGGCAGGGGTCAGAGGGCAGAGCAGGCTGCCAGGGCTCAGATCACAGCTAACAGCAGTTGAGACTAGAGACGAGTCTGGCCTGGTTTCGAAGGTACCATGTGTTTCTTACACCAAAGGCTTGCTCTCCTGCCCTAGTAGGGACTGTGTGAGGGAAGGGGGGTGGAGTTTGGGAAGCGGGAGGTGACTCAGAGCCCTTACCCGGCTTCACCGGCTCCTGCTGGAGACCCTGGACTGGGATGAGCAGCTTCGGATGCACTGCCTCGGGACGGGCCTGGGAGCCCTCAGTCCTCAGAACGCAGCCCAGGACGTCACCAGCTGCAGGAGGGGTTGAAACGGAAAAAGCCTTGGGCCAGGAGAGGGGTGGGGGGAAGGGAGCTCCGGTGGTAGGAGGCCTTGGCCAGGTCAGGTCTTCACCGCGGGACCCGGGGGGCCCCAGGGGTCGGCAGTGAGCCCAGCAAGGGCTTGAGCCCCGAGCCCGAGCCCGTGCACTCTCGTGGCAGTGAGGGACCAGCCACAAGCAGAGGACTGGCAGCCTCTGGCAGCCTCAGGAGAGCCCCGAGCTTTCCGGACAGGTCACACCTGGCTGGGGAACGGGACAATCAGGCCCAGCCACCTGGTTGAGAAGGAAAACGGTGTGGAGGAGCTGCCTCACCCCAGCACCCGCGGTGGGGCTGGCGGAGCAGGGCCGGCAGCGGGCCTCCTGCTGCACAGCAGGCAGATGTTCCAGAAGCTCTGCCCTGCCTCGTGATGGGTACTTAGCACAGATGAGAGCGTGCCGAGCCCCGGAGCAGTGGAAAACCAGGCGACACGCCCACTTTTTTTTGTGCTGTGTCGAGACCTCCCAGGCCTGTCCCGCGTCCTGTGGCGGGCCTGGCCTGGGCACGGTCACTGCAGGCAATCGAAGGGGAGCCATGAGGCCCCCAGGGGCCTGTACAACACCCCACCCCCACCCCACCCCCGCCAGAGGCCCCTGCTCCTGCAGGCAGGAAGCCTCGGGCTGTCTGAGTTGGGAAAGACTGAGGCCGCTGCCCGTCTGGCTCTCCCAGTTCCGGGTGGACAGCAAGCGCCAGAGCGAGACCCCGCCGCAAACATACAAACGCCCAGAAGAGTCGAGAGGAAGGCCTCCTGTGTGTCATGGGCGGTCCGTTGGAGGTGGGGGAGAGTCCCGGGGGGACAGTGCCCCGAGACCCCCAGGGAGGAGGGTATTTCCTCCTGTGCTCGGGAACCACCTTCCCTGAGCTGTGGAGGGGGGAGCAGAGCAGGCCTCTCGGTGTCTTTCACATGACGGATACCCACCAAGCCCCTGTGGCTTCCAGCATCCTGTGGGCGGCCTGGTTTCAGACGCCTCCACTGCACCTTGTGGCCGGGCTACAGCCTCCGGTCTGCGCTCTGCGGGCCTGGAGCCTCAGCAGGCTTCTTGAGGGAAAACCTGTGCGTCCCCCCCAGCGCCTGGCAAGTTGCCGGGGGCCCCGAAGGCACTGGCACAGGGGAGGACGGGAGGGGCACAGAAAGATGTCACCGCACGGAGCACTTCTGTCCTGCCACCTCAGTCCCCTCTGTTCCCCTCCCCACCCCCACACAGCTCTCGAGAACAGGCTGCTGTGAGCACACATCCCCTCCCACCTCCCCTCACCCTCAAGTCACACCATCTGAACCCACCACCTTCCTGCTCTGCAACCACTCATGGCTCCCGATTGGCGTGCTCAGGAAACCTGAGGCGCAGGTCACTCGGCTCCCACCTGGCCACCTGCTTCTCTCCACGGCCCCGCGTTGACCTGCTCCCTGACACTGGAGGCTGTCCTGCACCTGTCCCCTGCTGTAGCGTTTCTCCTGTTGTTCACTCTGGGCATGTCCTGCCCCCTCGTCCCTTCTTGGTCACTGCAGCCCACCTGCAGGCGCCCCGGTGAACTGCCACACTCTGCTGTCTCAGGGTGCGGCTCACCTCCTTAGGGACCACATCGCAGGGTACAGCTGGGTTGCAGGGGCCTGCTGGGCGTTAGAAGGAAGCAAGGGGGGCCGAACAGGCCAACGAGGGCCACAGCCGGATCAGAGCACGCCAGCCCAAGTGAGAGGATTCCGTTCCAGCCGGAGAAGCCAGCTCCCTGCTGTGTGGCCTTGGGCAAGTCACCGAACGTCCCGCAGCTCGCCTGGCTTCCCTCCCACCCCGCAAAAAGCTTGTGGTGAGTCCCTTCCCTGTGGCCTTGGCTGGACATCTCTCCTGAACATCAAACAGACCTGCAGGTCCCGGCGGGACCCCTGCCTCTCTGAATTACAGGGTGGTGACAAAGCCGAGCCGGGGCAGCCGCGGCTCATTGATTTGTGTGAGAAGCTGTTGGCTTTTGAAATGAGACAGGAAAGAGGGTTGAGGCGGAGCCCTGCACAGGAAGAGGTGAGGAGCCCAGCTGCCGTGACAGCCGGTGGGCTTGGGGGACTGCAGGAGCCGGCAGGCCGGAGCCCCCCTGACCTGTGCAGTCAGTGCCTCCCCATCCCTTCCAACAGGGCTTTGCTCCCGCCCCGCACAGATCCCGAGGGCTCGGGGCCCAGCTGACCGGCCACAGAGAATCTCAGGACATCCTCGCCACCACGCAGCTGCCTCTGTCCCCTGGAGCAGGGCTGAGCCCGGGAGCACCAGGATGGAGAACCCTCGGCCCCCCAGTCTCGGCATCCCTAGGGAAATGAGGTCTGGGAGGTAAGTCGAGTCCAGGCTGCCTCAGTGCAGGATGGGGGAGGAGGAAGAGACTGCCGGCAGGAAGGACCGTGACTTTTAAGGCCTGAGTTGCTCTAGGGAGCGGTGGCTGGGTGGCACCGGGAAGGTGTCCCCATGGGGGCCGGGAGCTGCTGAGCAGGACTAGTTCACCGTACAGAATAAAGAAACATGTGCCCAAGGGCAGCCCACGATGGGCCAAGGGGACAAAGCCCAGCTCCCCAGGTACCAGTGATGGGCTGGGAGGAGCAGGAAGTAACCAGAAACCGCTGCAGGCAGGCAGAGTGAGGTTGAGCAGCCAAGGGGTTAAACTTGTCATCAGCAGACCCGGGCTCCATCCCTGGCCTCACCTTCCACCTGTAAGATGGCAGTGACAATACCAGACCTGCCCCGGGGTCCTGAGGGCCCAGGGAGATGGCGCAGGCAGGCTGGGCTCTGGCACTCAGTGCCTGCCCCACAGACACCACCCTCTTGTTGGGTGAGCAGCCCCCAGGGGTCTCTTCTACCCACACCTTTGGGTGGACGCGAGGCTCATCATTCTGAGAGGGCCGGTAACCAGAGAGGCCTTCTCAGAAGAGGTGTCACCGAGCTGTGCCTGCGGTGGCTGCTGGCCATGGGGTCCTCCCCATGGTCGGGCTCCTGGGTTCCTGGGGCGCCTCTGGGTTTCCTCCACGGGGACACACGCTTTCCCCAGGCCGGAGCCTCACTGTGGCCATCACAGGCCACCCTGTGGCTGGCTCCCGAGTAGGGGTGTAGGCCGGCAGCACCTCCTCTGTCCCATGGGCAATACAGTATGAGAAGGGCTGTGTCCTGCGGCAAAGCCACCGCTTCCTCCCACCTCTAGGAAAGGCTGCTTGGTCTCAAGAGGTCCACGGCCACGGTGCTGAGCCACCTCAAGGGGCTGAGAACTGAACTCTTGGGCCCTGGGAGGCGGGGAGGGGGCAGGGAGTCTCTGGAGACACGAGCATCCGAGAGGCTGTGGCCTGAGGTGAGGGCGGCCCAGGCAGGTCGGCGCTGCAGGGTCTGAACGTACAGTCCCCAAGTGCGGGCGGGCAGAGAGAGGCTGGCTGTCTTGCAGGCCCCTGGGAGGGCAGCACGGGACAAGACGGGACTTGCCGGCAGAGCAAATGAGTAGATCGGGACCTGTGTCTTCTCTGGGATGCGACGTGAGCTCCGCTGTCCGTCCTGAGGGACGGGGACTGAGCGACACCAGCGCCAGTGAGCACGGGTCCTCTGCTGCGTCGCTCCCCATGGGTGAGGCTCTGGAGGATGTGGGGGTGTGGGGAAGCCCGCTCCAGGGGGTGGCCGTGGTCTGCAGCTGTCTGGCTGGCTGGCCCTGCCCACCACAGCTCAGAACGACTCTGGCCTTCAGATGGCCCAGGGCAGCCCAGACCACCCGCCCGTCTTCCCCTCTTTAAGCTGGTTGCAGGGCCTCCTTCTGCTCTCGCTGAAGGCTGTCCGCACTGGACACGGCCTGACTGTCCCTGGCGGCGTGTGTGGCACTCGGGCCGTGGCAAGCTCCACCCTGCAGGGGCAGATTCTGGGCTGCACACAGGGCCTGTGCGCACACGCAGCCGGGTAGCTTTCCCGTGGGGGGAGCACCCTCACTGGCCTCTGAGGTTGGCCCTGGGTTTTAAGGTATAAGCACATCCCACGTAATACTTGGGATATACTTACACTGAAAGAACGCTGTTTATGCGAAATTCAAATTCTAACGGGTGTCCTGTATCTTAATTTGCTAACCCCGGCAACCCTAGCCCTACGGTCAGCAGGGCAAGAAAGATGAGTGTCTGACCCGGAGGAAGTGTTGGCTCCCAACGCTGAGAGGCACATGGGACTGGAGGTGGGGGCAGGGGGGAGCTCCCCCCTGCCACCTTCCCAGACACTACTCTGCCCTGCCTCTTCTCCCCTGCTGTTGTCCCTCCTCTGCCACTTGCCCGGCCTTTCTGGCCTAGCGGTTCCCAATGCTGGCTGCTCATTACAATCACCAGGGGAGCTCCAAAACACACACGCGTTGACTGGGCGCATGGGTGGCTCAGTCGGTTAAGCGTCTGACTCTTGATTTCAGCTCAGGTCATGATCTCGAGGTTTCTAAGTTTGAGCCCCACATCAAGCTTCGCGCTGACAGTGAAGCCTGCTTGGGATCCTCTCTCTCTGCCCCTACCCCATTCACACTCGCTCTCACCCTAAATAAGTAAACTTAAAAATTTTTATTAAAAAAATACATACGTGTTGAGGCCCTACCTCACACCGAATAAACCTCTAGGTGGTTGAGCTAAGCAGTGGCTTTTTAAAAATAGTTCTTCCTAGAACGACCATAAGATTCAGCAATTCCACTGCTGAGTATATAAACCCAAAGGAATCGAAAGCAGGGACCTGAACAGGTATTTGTACACCTGGTATTTGAACAGGTATTTGTTCGCAGCAGCATTTATTCACAGGAGGAAAAAGGCGGAGACAACCCAAGTGTCCATCGATGGACGAATGAATAAACAAAATGTGATCTAACTATAAAGACAGAACATGACTTAGAGTGAAATTTTTAGACGTGTTACAACAAGGATGAAACTGGAAAGCAAACGCAAAAGGACAAATACTGCATGAGGTCCCTAGAGGAGTCAGATTCGTAGTGACAGAAAGGAGAAGGCTGGGTTCCAGGGGCTGGGAGGAGGGGAAAGGGGAGTTAGTGCTTAACAGGGGCAGGCTTCCCATCGCGGGGATGAAACATTCCAGAGGTAGATGGTGGTGACGGTTTCACAGCATTGTAAATGTACATAATGCCACTGAGTTGTACGCTTTAAAAATGGTTACAACGGTAAACTTCATGCTGTGTATATTTTACCACACACACACACACACACACACACACACACACACACACATAGTGCTCTAGACACTGTCCTACCAGAGCTGAGGAGCCCTGGGCCCGGCCCTTCTTCCACATGGTCCCCTCATTCCCCTAGCCACCACCTCACCCCCAGTAGCAGCAGGGGCAGGGTGTCACCTGTGGGTGTACCTGGACAACCAATGACAGGAAGCCATGTCCGCCGCCAGGCCACGCCCTGACATCACCCAAGCCAACAGCAGGACACGGGCCCTGCTGTCCTGGCCTCACATGCTAAGAGGCTGCAATAACACTGCTCGGCCTTGGTTTACGCACATGGGGAGATCTGGGTGGCTGCGGAGGTACAACTTACAGAGAGCAAAGTGAGCCCAGCGGGTTTTTACATCTGTAGGCACCTGTGTATCTGCACCAATCGGTGATCATATCGATCGCCCAGATCAACGTATTCAAGGAGGTGACTACTGCTATTCTGACTTCTATCATGTCAGATTGGTTGGGCCTGACATTAAACTCCCCATAAGCAGATTCACAGAGTATGTTCTCTCTGGGGTGACATTTTGTTCACTGGGTGTCTGCAAGAGTCAGCCACTTGAGTTTGTCAGCAGTTCCTTTGCTGTCATTACTACCCGGGACCTGATTGTTTCAACTTTACAAAAAATACATACATATATATACATATATATATACACACACACACACACACACACACACACACACACACACACACACATACATATATCCCATTCTATGGTTGATGGATATTGGCAGTTTCTCCTTTTTTTTTGGACACTATGAATAAAGCTGCTAGAACATTCCAATACTGTGTCTTGATGGATATAAACACTTGTTTCTGTTAGGTATACAGAGCCAGACAGAGAATTGCTGTGTCACAAAAACATGCCTATTTGGCCTTATCACTACCAAACACTTCTCTGAAGTGATTTCACTTTGCATTTCTTTGATGACTAAGGATATTATCTTTTGTGACAGATCTTCAATTTTTTGGCTCATTTTTAACTGGGCTGTTTCTTACTGATTTTTAATGTTTATTTTTTTATTTATGAGAGAGAAACAGAGCGTGAGCAGGGGCGAGACAGAGAGAGAGAGGAGGACACAGAATACGAAGCAGGCTCCAGGCTCTGAGCTGTCGGCGCAGAGTCTGACGTGGGGGCTCAAACTCACGAAAGGTGAGATCATGACCTGAGCCGAAGTCGGACGCTCAACCGACTGAGCCATCCTGGCGCCCATTTCTTACCGGATTTTTAAATGTACTGGAGACATCTCCTAGTCAGTAGTTTGCTTTCTCGCCCTTTTAAAACTGTCTTCTGTTGAACAGATATCCCTAATTTTAATGAATCCAAATATGGCACTCATTTCTTTCACGGTTAGTGCTTTTTTTGTGCTCCACTTAAGTCTTTACCTAGCTCAAGTTCCTGAAAGTATTCTGTAACTGTTCCTAAACACTTGGTGGGGCTAGCATTCACATTTAGATCTATGATCCAGCTTGAATTAATCTTTGTGTGTGGTGGGAGGACGGGGGTCAAGGTCCATTTTCCGATAGGAATATCCCATTGGAGCAACACAATGTAATACAACGACCATCTTTTCTCCCGACTTGCAGTGGAGCCCCTGTTGTAAATGTGCTGACCACACATGACGTGTGGGTCTGTTTCGGGACCCTCTGTCATATTGCACTGGGCTATCTGCCAGCCCTGTGCCAAAACCTACAGCTCTATACTAAGCCTTGATGTTGGGTAGTACAAGTCGTCTAGCTTTGTTCTTCTTTCTTAAAATAATTTTGGCTGGTCTAGGGTCTTTTGCTTTACATATATGTTTTAGAATCAGCTTGCCAATTTCTACCCTCCCTCCCTCACCAAAAGAGCTTGCTGGAATTTTGATTAGGATGTCGTTCAATTTATAGATCAATTTGGGAAGAAATGACATTTTAATAATAGTAAGCCTTCCAAACCATGAACATGGTAAATCCCTCTTTTAGGTCTTCTTTCATTTCTCTTAGTATTGTTTTTAGTTTTCTGTGTAGAGGTCTTGCAAATTTTTTGCTGAATTTATTCCTATTTTTTTTTTAATGCTTATTTATTTCTGAGCTAGAGACAGAGCACGAGCAGGGGAGGGGCAGAGAGAGAGGGAGACACAGAATCCGAAGCAGCTCCAGGCTCTGAGCTGTCAGCACACAGCCCAACACGGGGCTCTAACTGATGGACCGTGAGATCATGACCTGAGCTGAAATCGGACGCCCAACCGAATGAGCTACCCAGGCGCCCCTAGATATTTGCTTTTTAAATATTTCAAACTTTTACTTTCAATTTCATTGTTGCTAATAAGCAGAAATAGATATGACTTTTTAAAACCGACCTTGTGTTCAGAAACCTTGCTAAGTTCATGTATTGGTTCTAATCAATTGTAGATTGTTTTGGATTTTCAATGTATATAATCATGTCAACTGTGAACAGTGAAAGTTTTTTTTTTCCTTTTCCAATCCTGAAATCTTTTATTCTTTCATTTTCCCTATTACACTAGCACCTAATTGAAAAACCACCGGGGGGGGGGCCCGGGGTGGCTGAGTCGGTTGAGCGTCCGACTTCAGCTCAGGTCATGATCTCGTGGTTTGTGAGTTCGAGCCCCACGTCAGGCTCTGTGCTGACAGCTCGGAGCTTGGAGCCTGCTTCGGATTCTGTGTCTCCCTCTCTCTCTCTGCCCTACCCCTGCTCATACTCTGTCTCTCTCTCTCTCTCTCTCAAAAATGAATAAACTTCAAAAAAATTTAAAGAAAAACAACCAGGGCACCTAGGTAGCTCAGTTAGTTGAGCCTCCGACTCTTAATTTTGGCTCAGGTCGTGACCCCAGGGTTGTGAGATCCAGCCTCCTGCTGGGCTCCATGCTGAGCATGGAGCCTGCTTAAGATTCTGTCTTGACTTCCCTCTGCCCCTCTTTCTCCGTCCCTCTCCCCCACTGATCTCTAAATAAAAAAATTTTTTTAATTTAATGTTATTTTTTTCACATTACCAAACTCCTTCATATGCAAGTAATATAAATATGTATTTGTTCCTAAGTTCTATATTATGTTCTGATGACTTCTGTATCTATTCTTGTGCTGGTCCACCCTGTTTTACACAACTTAATACACGTGGAACATAGTATTCAAGAACCTAAGGTTGGTTCAATGTTAGAAAATCTGTAGTGTAGCTCACAGATTAAAGGAGAGACTGGATATGAATCCAGCATGTCACTCTCTAGTGACTTGCCACCACACTTAGTACAAACCCAAACGCATTATGGCCACTATGACGGTGGGTGGGTCTCAAACGTCCTCTTATCCTGTGAGCCCCACCCCTGCCCCCATTCACTGTGCTCCAGCAACTGGCTTTTTCTGCCCCAGTAATGCACAGGGCATGTGTACTTGCTGTCCCCCTAGCTCTGTGTGTAATTAACGCGTTCTCACTCTTCAGATCTCTGCTCCTAAGTGGCCTTCTCACAGAGGCCTTCCCTGGCCACCGTGACAGCCGACCCACTCCGCCGTGCACCCTGTGTGTTTCATTCACAGCGTTAATCATGTCAGATGCCCTCACTCATTCACTGGGTTTCTTTACTGTCATGTGCCCACCCGGATCACACTCACAGGGTCAGGACCTTGTCTAACTTGTTCCCTTCAGATCCCCCAGTGCCCACAGGCCACAAAAGGCCCTCAATAAATACCTCCTGATTCAATGACTGAAGGGAAATAAATCATGTGGTTGGGTCAATACTGCTAAAAAGGTATTTGCTAATTTAACAGACATGCCTAATTTTTTAAATGTGGGGACGTACAAAGGGAACCTCAGTGGCTCAGTTGGTTGAGCATCCGACTTCGGCTCAGGTCATGATTTCACGGCTCGTGAATTCGAGCCCCAAGTCGAGCTCTGTGCTGACAGCTCAGATCCTGGAGCGTGCTTTGAATTCTGTGTCTCGCTCTCTCTCTCTCTGCCCCTCTCCTGCTCACGTTCTGTCTCTTTCTCTTAAAAATAAACATTAAAAATTTTTTTTAATTAAGAAAAACGTGGGGACATACTATAAGAGGCAGGAGATTGCCCAGCACAAAGGCTGTTGTCAGCGAAGCCTTGGTTTCTCTCTCAACTCAGCTGCTCCCCAGCTGTGTTGCCTCGAGCCAGTCACTTAACCTCTCTGAGCCTCAATGTCCTCATCCATAAAACAGGAGCAGTGACAATTTAATAAGGGTTGTTACAAGAAGCGAAATGATGTAAGTACAATGTTTAACAGATCGTCATCTGGAGCACAGGAAGCCTTCAGGAGCAATCATGTGGCGCTATCTGAATGGTGCTAGGACAAAAGGAAGCGAAGGAATCTTTTCCAAGAGGAGAGAACAACTTAGACACGATCACAAACATGAGGCCTGACGGCTTGGGCTCGAACCACGCCTGGGAGTCAGACGAGGATGCCCAGTGTGATTCCCGTCACTCACCACTGCGTGGGGGAGGTGGAGGGTCTGACCCACGTGGGAAAACTTGTTCAGGATAAGTGTTGCGATTTTAGGAAAGAGATGAAGTTATTCATACTGCAGTAAGAATTCACTGAGAAATGATGGGAAATAACATGAATACTTAACATTTGATGGGAAAGGAGATACAACGCACCAAGACTGTCTTCCTCAGTGACACCCACACCGATCTATCCACATTAGTGAGACTTCACTCAGAACCCCATCTGGTTTCTTTTCCCCTTGGATTTGACGCCAAGAAGAACAAAAGAGGGGGAACAGCCAGGGGGTCCGAAGAAGAAGAAGGAGCGAGGCCTCCCCCTGGCCTCTTACGAACGCTGCCAGACTCCCTCAGCTGGGCTGGACACGGCCTGCCCTGAATTCACTGCACTACCTAACACTTCAACAGCGCTCCGGACGGAACGGCTGGAAAACGCTATCCTACTTGTTGTCAAGCCCCTTTTAGCATCTTCTAGGTAAAAAGGTTCATCCCGAGTTAGAGTGCCAGGAAAGCCCAGTGCAAGCACAAGGTCAGGGAACATGTCGGATCCTTGGGGCTGGAGTCAGGTGACCCCTCCCCTAAGTGACGATCGTTGAGACCCAGAGAACCGCCAAGCTAGAAGACACGGGCCAGACCCATTTCACTGAGCGGCTGATATCCGGAGCGGCAGGTGTAGCCTCTGCTCAGCCCTGTCCTGTCTTCTCTCCTAGACCCCTGGGCGAGGGATGGCCGACCCCCACCCCCTGAGTTCGTGGGGCCCTGCCGGAGGAGCTGCTGTGGGCCGGACACCCCGCCCGCTGCAGGTGAGGAGGGGGCGGGGGCGCGCCGGGGGTCCTGGAGCGCCCACCGTAGCTGAGGGAGGGACACACGGGAGCCACTCGGAGCCTCAGGGAAAGCGACGGGAGCAGGTGGGGCCCGCACGGCTCCGCCTCTCGGTGGCCCCACACTGCAGCGCCCAGCAGAGGAGGGCGCTGCTGGGGTCAGGAGTCCCCAGGGGCTCCCTCCTGACTCACTCACCCCTCCCCTCCTGGCAACCACGGATGATCTTTTCCCTTTCTCCACAGTTTTGCCTTTTCCAGGGGGGTCACAGAGCTGGGTTCACAGAGCACGCGGCCTTTCCAGATTGACCTCCTTCATTCTCCCCTTCTCGGGAGCAGCCCTGCTCTTAACCCCGTCTCCACTTCCAGGTCACAAATGAGGACAGCACAGCACGAGGAGCTCAGGCGGCCTGCCCGGTGCCACACAGCCAGTAAGTGGCGGAGCTCAGGTTCCAGCCTGGGCCCGGTTCTTATCCACCATACTCCTGGCGTCAGGGATGACGCTCGCCATCCAGGAACGAACAGCCCTTCCTGGCCCTTCCTGGAGGCCGGACGGAGGGAGCCACCGGCAGCCTGGGGAAGGACAGGGAGTGGGTCCCTCCCCATCCCTGGAGGCTCACTCACCTGTCCCAGGCCAGGGTGGTGACGCGGCACACGGCACCTCAGGCCCTCTCTTCGCAGCTGCTGGCGGCCATCGCGGACCCCATGAGGAAGCAGGAGGTGCGGACCGGCGGGGAGGCAGGCCAGGGCCGAGGCCCCGGCTCCCCGGCTGGGCAAGTGAAAGCCCTCGTGGACCTGCTGGCCGGGAAGAGCAGTCAGGGCTCCCAGGCCCCAGAGCCCCTGGACAGGGTGCCACAGGCCCCCCTAGGGCCTCACGGTGACGGTAGGTGGAAGGAGGGTGTCCCTGGGCCCTCCCGCTCCCGGCTGCCCTCCCCTCCCCCACCCTCCACAGCCCTCCCCTTCGGCCTCTGTCCCGCAGACTCGAGGATACAGAAGTGCCGGGAGGCTCTGCTGAACAGGGCGAGAGGCGGCCCCCCGCCCAGGCTGACCAGCCTCCTGCTGCTGGAGGGGCTGACAGACCTACAGCTGAGGGAACATGACTTCACACAGGTGGAGACCACGCGTGGGGCCTGGCACCCGGCCAGGAGCCTCACCCTGGACAGACTCTTCCTGCCTCTGTCTCGGGTGTCTATCCCCCCCCGAATCTCCATCACCATCGGGGTAGCTGGCGTGGGCAAGACCACCCTGGTGAGGAACTTTGTCCAGCTCTGGGCCCGGGGACAGGTCGCCAAGGACTTCTCCCTGGTGCTCCCCTTGACCTTCCGAGATCTCAACACCCACGAGAAGCTGTCTGCGGACAGACTAGTCCGCTCCGTCTTCTCGCACATCGGGGAGTCCGGCCCGGCGGCGGCAGCCCCACCCAAAACCCTCCTGATCCTGGATGGCCTGGACGAGTGTAAGACGCCTCTGGACTTCTCAAACACCGTGGCCTGCACGGACCCCAAGAAGGAGATCCAGGTGGACCATCTGATCACCAACATCATCCGGGGCAACCTATTCCCAGAAGTCTCTGTCTGGGTCACTTCCCGCCCCAGTGTGGCCGGCCAGATCCCGGGGGGCCTGGTAGACCGGATGACAGAGATCCGGGGCTTTGACGAGGAGGAGATCAAGGCGTGTTTGGAGGAGATGTTCCCCGAGGACCACACCCTCTCCGACTGGGTCCTGAGGCAGGTGCGGGCGGACAGGGCCCTGTACCTGATGTGCACGGTCCCAGCCTTCTGCCGGATTGCGGGGTCGGCCCTGGGTCACCTGCGCCACAGCGGGCCGGGGCCCCAGGACGCCGGGCAGCAGGCTCCGAGGACCCTGTGCGAGCTCTACTCTTGGTACTTCAGGATGGCCCTCGGCGGGGACGGGCAGGAGAAGGGCAAGGAGAGCCCTCGCATCGAGCAGGTGGCCCACAGCTGCCGCAAGATGGTAGGCACTCTGGGGCGGCTGGCCTTCCACGGGCTGGTCAGGAAGAAGTACGTGTTCTACGAGCAGGACCTGAAGGCGTTTGGCGTGGATCTCGCTCTGCTGCAGAGCGGCCTGTGCAGCCGCTTCCTGCAGCGGGAAGAGACGCTGGCCGCGTCGACGGCCTACTGCTTCACGCACCTGTCCCTGCAGGAGTTTGTGGCGGCCGTGTATTACTACGCTGCCTCCAGGCGGGCTATCTTCGACCTCTTCGCCGAGGGTGGCGTGTCCTGGCCCCGCCTCGGCTTCCTCACACACTTCAGGAGCGCGGCCCAGCGGGCCATGCAGGCCGAGGACGGGCGGCTGGATGTGTTCCTGCGCTTCCTCTCAGGACTCCTCTCCCCCGGTGTCAACGCCCTGCTGGCAGGCTCCCTGCTGGTGCAGGGGGAGCACCAGGGCTACGGGGCCCAGGCGGCCGAGCTCCTGCAGGGCTGCCTGCGCCCCGACGTGGCGGTGTGCGCCCGGGCCGTCAACGTCCTGCACTGCCTGCATGAGCTGCGGCACACGGAGCTGGCCCGCAGCGTGGAGGAGGCCATGCAGAGCGGCAGCCTGGCGGGGCTGACCGGCCCCCGGCACCACGCGGCCCTGGCCTACCTCCTGCAGGTGTCAGACGCCTGCGTCCAGGAAGCCAACCTGTCCCTGTGCCTCAGCAAGGGAGTCCTCCAGAGCCTGCTGCCCCAGCTGCTCTACTGCCGGAGCCTGAGGTGGGCGCTGGGGTGGGGGTGTGCACGGTGCGGGTCGGAGGAGACAGCGGGGGCCTGGAAGGCCGTTCCCCTCCACCACGCCCCCCCCCCCCCCGCCGTGTCAGCATCCTGGGGGCCGCCTGCAGGGCCACAGCACGGATGGCTTAAGGCAGCAGAAACTTGTTCTGTCACAGCTCTGGGGGGGCACGGTCCAAATTCAAGGGGTCGGCAGGCCTGAGCTCCCTCTGAAGCCTTCCTGCCTCGCTAGCTCGTGCTGTTCACTGGCAGTCCTCAGCTTGCAGACGCATCACTCCGATCCGGGTGGTCACACGGGCGCCTCCCCCGTGTCACCGTCTCCACGTGGTGTTCTCTCTGACAAGGATGCCAGTCGTACTGGCTTACGGGCCCGCCCCCCTCAGAATGACCTCATCTGGACTCATGACATCCGCAATCACCCCAGTTCCAGATGAGGTCATGAGCTTGAGGCGCTGGGGTGGCGGCGGGAGGTCAGAACACCAACATATCTTTCCGGGGATCACGATTCAACCTACGGCACTCTGTGAGCCACCCCTCTGCCGACAGAGGCCGCGCCCACTTACTCCACCACCACCCCTTCCGCCCATCACCCATCCTGCTCTGGACTTCAGTGTCTCTAAGACCAGGGCCGTCAGGGCCTGAGAGCAGCTGCCACACCCTTAGAAGGAGAGCTAGCAGCCCGTGTCCCGCGGACACGTGATGTACGGGGCTGCCGGGGAGACGCCCTCTGCGCAGGAATCCTGGGGCTCACCACACTGAGGCTCCCGGCGTACCCTCCCGGGAAAACCTCGAGCCTGGCGGGCGTGCCAGCACGGGTCCCCGGGCCACCTCGTGGTGGGGGCTGCGTGGCGATGCAAACGTGGGCCAGGGAAGGGATGCCAGCCTGGGTGTGTCCGCTGCCCTGAGGGCGGCCCTTTGCCGGGGCCTCGTTCCACCCGCCCGCGGGCGGTGGTACCACTCATTATCGCTCTGCCTCCTTCAGGCTGGACAACAACCAGTTCCAGGACCCCGTGATGGAGCTGCTGGGCAGCGTGCTGAGCGGGAAGGACTGTCGCATTCAGAGGATCAGGTAACGCTGACCCGGGAGACCCCACCCGGGGTGCCTACCTGTCGCACGGGGTCCAGGGCTATTTTCCCGTCCTCCTCTCTGCTCAATCGGCCAGAGGCGCTTGCAAGGAGAGGTGCCTTGGAAACACGTGGCTGCTTGTTTCTGCCCCTTCCGGAAAGTTCCAGAGGCTCAGGTCCCTCACCTGTAAGAAGAGGGAAGGGATATGGTGAGGGTCAGGTGCTCTGGTGGACATGGGAGCATTTCCGCAGATACTCAACGTTCCGAAGTACTGCGAGGCACGATGTTCTCTAAGCTCCTCTCAATGTTTGCCCTCAAAACAGTATTACAGGCACAGGATTGGCTCTAGAAATTAAATTAGAATTTTTTTAATTTAAAATTTGGATTTAAATTTGAACTTTTATTTAAACGAGTACAAAAAAATAAAATTTAAACATTGACTCTTTAATGGTGTGATGAGACACAAGTCTGTGTGCTGACGGCAAAATAGAGTTTCGCGCTTGTGAGATCTCCTGTGATCACATTTCCAAGTCTCAGTAACACTGAGGAGTGGGCTTGTGACCTGGGGGTGGTTAGAAATAGGGAGAGGAGTCTGGAGAACAGGATCCAGAGAGGAATTCTTCGTCCTCACTTAAGCCTCCCTCTGGGTTCAGGAATAATCTCTGAGAAAACAAACACAAACACGGAGTGAGTCAGGAGCCAAAAGAAGTCACGGAAGACAGTGGCGAGCGGTGGGCTCTGTGTGACCCTGTACAGTCAACTCTGTGCCAAAGGAGTGTAAACATGGGGTTAAAACGTATCTGTGAGTCTCGGGTCTCCGGGACCCCCCCAAAGGTTTAATGATTCACTAGAAGGACTCACAGAACCCAGAAGAGCTGTTGTACCTGCACTTGTGGCTCAGGACATCAAAAGGATACGGATTTAAATGTGCAGAGGGAAGGGTGCATGAGGCGGGCCCGAGAGACAGGGGCAAGCTTTCAGTTGTCCTTCCGCTGTGGTGGTGCAGACAGGGCCCGCCTCCCCCAGCCACCACGCGCAACAGCACACTTGAAGCGTTCCAACCAGGGAGGCGCACCCAGGCTTGGGTCCAGACATTTTACTGGAGGTGGGTCATGGGAAGCCCCTCCGGAGGTAGGGACGTCAGGCTGCTACTGCACGGCCCAAGGGCCCCAGGTAAACACAGGCAGACTTATCAGGCAGGACATTCCAAGCGTTCAGAGGTCACCTCTCCGGAACTGGGGGCACGGTTAACCCTTTCCTGCACATTCCCCCTTCCGGTTGTTGAAGCAGCTTCAGTGGGTTAACTCAAGGCAAGCGGTGAGGACGGGCCAGGCACAGAGGAAGCACTGGATGAGGGCCGGCTATTAGCAGGATCCCCTTGGGCTAGCAGCCAGAGATAGAAATGCAATCCCTCTGAAAGAAACACAATAACATTAATTAATTTCATTAATATTCTTCCTTCACGGGAGCCTTCAGCAAAATAGTCAACTTCCAGAGTTTTGCATAAAGGAGTCTGGATAACGCTCAGAAAATATTCTGCACAAAAGCCAAAATTTCTTCTAAGGCCACGTGCTCTTCTTCCCCTCTCTGTAGTGGGTCCTCAGGGGCCACATCCCGTTTGAAAAGGCACCCTTCAGAAAACACACGTGGCTCATGAGATATTATTTAAAAACTGTTACAAAAGTCCTGGGCGGAGAGGGGACAGAGGTTCTAGGACTCGAGGACGGTTATGTAGAGGGCAGTCTGGATGAATGATCTTCAAACTCTACACAACAGAATCCCTTTTAAAAGTGGCCTATCAGCCAGAATGCCCACAAAAGACGGGCACCCGGGAGCTTCTGGACAGAAAGAGGAGACGTGGAGGCCCAGAGCCCAGGCACGTGGTGCCCCCTCAGCCTCTGGGACTCCTAAAGCTGTTCTGAGGAACACAGGCTTTTGCTTTTTGTTTTCCTTTTTTGTTTTCAATGTTTATTTTTCCGAGAGACAGACAGAGTGCAAGTCGGGGAGGGGCAGAGAGAGAGGGAGACCCAGAATCCGAAGCAGGTGCCAGGCCTCTGAGCTGTCAGCACAGAGCCTGATGCGGGGCTCCAACTCATGAACCGTGAGATCATGACTTGAGCCAAAGTCAGACACTTAACCGACTGAGCCACCCAGGCGCCCTGTTTCTGTTTTACTTTGCTGACATTTTCTTTCTTTTTTTTTTTTTTTCAACGTTTATTTATTTTTGGGACAGAGAGAGACAGAGCATGAACGGGGGAGGGGCAGAGAGAGAGGGAGACACAGAATCGGAAACAGGCTCCAGGCTCTGAGCCATCAGCCCAGAGCCCGACGCGGGGCTCGAACTCACGGACCGTGAGATCGTGACCTGGCTGAAGTCGGACGCTTAACCGACTGCGCCACCCAGGCGCCCCAGTTTCTGTTTTACTTTGAAGTTAATTCTATAGTTAGTACCATTTTCCTTCCCTGTGCTAGAAAAGGACAGGGGCCAGTGGTGAGCTAGTACTATGAATGCAGACACAGTTCATGAGAGCAGGTTTTTAAAGTTTTAGGAATTTTTGCAAGCTGGGACTGCTTGAAATTGGCCGTGGTGAGAGTATTTACACCATGCAAATCGGCCAATGCTACAAATCAGTATTGTTGTACTTTTCCGGCACACTGCTGCCGGGGATCTTTGTGGGAAACTTCTGTAACTGCCCATGCTCTTTGCTGTGCTGTTTGCAAAGATGCTGTCGTACTGGATTCTGGCCAGACTTTGCCTTGGGAATCTTTGCCAGTGTGAGGGTCTGTCCCCTGCACTCTGGCCTTACCTTACTTGGCTCAGAGGCTTTCCTGGCCTGGGTGATTCTGCTCCAGGGCTCACGTCATCTCCACCTGCGTCCAGGCCCTCATGATGCTGGTGAAACCGGGAGGTTTGGATCACAAGCCTGGTGTTGAGGAAGAGGCCATGACAGTTGTAGACCAGCAATAACCACTCTTCTCCTTCTCCTTGGGCAGCTTGGCTGAGAACCAGATCAGTAACAAAGGGGCCAAAGCTCTGGCCAGATCCCTCCTGGTCAACAGAAGTCTGACTGCTCTGGAGTAAGTAGGACACCAGAGGCCAACGTTCTACCACTGGGACAGGGAAAGCTTGTCAGCCATCTTGTGAAGTCCCCCAGACCACACTGTCCCCTCGGTCGGTTGGAAGGACAGCAGAGTGAGCAAATTCCTGGCTCCTCGTCAGTTGTGGGGATCAGCCCAGGGAGGCACCAGAATTTTGGCCCTGAAGCTGGTATGATTCTCCTCTCCATACTTGGCCCAAGCCACATCCATCAGATCCTGCTCCCCCCCCCCAGCCCCCGCTGACCCCCCATCATACTGGGGGGCCATACTGGGAAATTCCTTACTTGTTCACCTGAATAAGGATCTCCACAAAACATGAAATCTTAAACCCCGTTATTTTCAAAGAGCATAGATTTAAAGGTCAGTGTAACTTCTTTCTTTCCTCCCTGGGAATTGGATAAAAGAAAACAGTTCTTTCTCTCTCTTCTTCCCGCCAGCCTCCGCAGTAACTCCATCGGACCTCAAGGGGCCAAGGCTCTGGCAGATGCTCTGAAGATTAACCGCACTCTGGCCTTTTTGAGGTACGCGCCATCTGCTCCACATCCCGATATAACCAGCAGAGGGCCCACAAAACCCTCTCCCAGGTACCAACCATGGAGCGGGAGATGATTCAAAATGGCAGGCATGCTATACTGGCTCCTGTCTAGGTGGATGCCACATGATCTCGTATCTATACAAGTTTCAGGTTTCAGTTCTTCTGTGCTCATTGTCCTTGTGTGTACAGCCTAATTCAGGGATAGAGGAAAAGGAGGATGCGGTTGTATAGAGGTGGAAAAGCAAAATAATCTATGAGGAACACCTCTTGTCTTCTATCGAATGGGAAATCCAAGGCCATGGTGTCAGGATGTTTTCCTGAGGTGTTTTCCAGGACGCTGAAAGTGCCATTCTCTAGAATGTTCCTATGGTTTGCTGTGCTCCTTTTAGGAGTTGTCATATGTGGTTGTACCCATCCTTAGTTGAGTGTGTACTGTCATCTGTTTCTTCATTTATGTATTTTTATTGGGGTGAAATTCACCACTTTAGAGTATACATTTCAGTGTCACTTAGTACGTTCACAGTTGTTCCTTCATCACCTCTATGTAGTTCCACAATATTCTCACCACCTGAAAAGAAGACTGTATTCTTTATCAATCACCTCCCATTCTCCCCTCCCCCCAGTCCCTGGAAACCACCAATCTGCTTTCTGTCTCTATGTTTACCATGGAATCATACAATAAGACCTCTTGTGTCTGGCTTCTTTCACTTAGCATATTGCTTTGAAGGCTCATTGTAGCACGTGTCAGTGCCTCATTCCTTTTTCTGGTTAAATAACATTCTGCTTTATGAACAGACCCCAACGTACCCATTTGTCAGCTCACGGACATTTGGGTTGTTTCCACCTTTTGGCTCTTGTGGATAATGCTGCTGTACACATTCATGTGCAAGCATTTGAGTACCTGTTCTCCATTCTTTTGGGTAAATACCTACCAGTGAAACTGCTCAGTAACTCTATGTTGGACCTTTTGAGGAAGCGCCGGACTGTTTTCCACAAGGTCCGCACCATTTTACATCCCCACCAGCAATGGGTGAGGGTTCCGATATTTCCACATCCTCGTTAACATTTGGAGGCTGTGGCTTTTAGCTGTAAATAAGACTACGGACAACCTAGCTATCGTCATCCAGATAATATGCGCACCCTGTCCCCAGTCAACAGACAAATGCTTGGAGACTCAGAGGGAATCCTTATGATTCCCTGGGAGGAACCAACTGTTCCCAAATCCTGTGTGGTGGGCAGCAAGGGCACGTAGTGGTCAGCTGCTACCCCCACCCCCTGGGCCTTGGTAACACTGTGGTGGGGGTCAAGGCCACCATTGGGCCCTCTCTCGTGCCATTGGTGATGTACCCCTTCCTTGCCTCCACAGCCTCCAGAACAATGCCATCAGGGATAACGGTGCCAGGTTTGTGGCTGAGGCCTTGGCCGCCAACCGGACCCTCTCTGTGCTACAGTAAGTGGACGTGCTGGCCAACAGAGATACCCCCCCCCTCCCCTCCTCCAAGGGCCTGTTTCCTGCAAGGAAGGATGATTGGGGAGACGGCCTGAGACTTCCGGGCCCATCTAGATGACCCCTGGAAATCTTGATGTCCACTCTTCCACAGAACAGGTATTGGGGAAATAATTAAAAATAAAGCCTCCTGCCAATGCAGAAAATCCTCTCCGCAAAGGTAGAAAAGAATGAAACAGTTGCATTATTTGAAGAATCAACCAGATTGCACTGTACATCGTTGGCAATCCAGCAGCGAGCTGGCCAGGACAGAAAGAAATCTCACCCTTTTCTACAGCCAAGCAGATACAACCCACAATACAACCCACAGCACGTGTGTTCTCAAGATAACTTGTCCTCAAGTAAGAGGACTGGACAGCACCGTCTGTCACCCACAGTGTTTCCTCAGTTTGCCTGGTGGTTAAGGTAGTCAGCCGTTCAATGATTGCCTTTACCCAAAGGAAAAGCCAGGCTCCCCGTGCCATTATGACAAGCAGACCATTACAACTTGGAGTGGTGCTACCTTCCTCCATGCGCTCCTTTCAGAGACGTGGTTCTGAGGTCCCTTGGGGGCCATCACTCTGACAAAAGGCTTATTTCGCTTTTAAAAGGATTTATACGCTTCTCAAAGGGACAGATTTACAATCCCAAGTTTTCTCAAAGAAAGGCTCTGAGGGAAAGGATCCCTTTTGGAACCAGGGAAAATTCCCTTTAGTTGAGATTGTATCGGGCCTTACACAGGACAGGTCCCGCCCTGCCCGCCCTTCTGAGATGCGCACAGGGGTTCTCTTGTAGCATCTCCCTCCTCCAGATTTAGTATGAAGGGAAGTAGCTTTCGGAGAAGAGCGGAAACGGAGGGTCTGCCCTAGGCAGGACTGCAGGGGTGGGAGGTAGGCTGCGGGCTGGTCGAGAGGGAGGACGACTGTTGAGCGTTGGGAGGGTTGCCTGGGCAAGGAGCTCAGCCGTCCTTGCCTCTGACCCCCCACATAACCGTGTCCATCTGCTGGCATCGTTTTGGCAACGGTGCACAGTCTGTTCCTAGAGCCCCCTCTGCCCACGCGGCGGGGAGAGCACCTGAGTCGTCTCTGAGCTCTCGCCCTTCCCCCAGACTGTCCCCAGAGTGGGAATGGCTGTGGCCAGCTTTGCTGAGGGACCCCTCCCCTCTCCCACAGCCTGCAGAAGAATACCATCGGGCCTCTGGGAGCCCAGCAGACGGCAGATGCCCTGAAGCAGAACAGGAGTCTGAAGGAGCTCATGTGAGAAATGCGGAAGGGCTACATTTGTATCCTCAGTGACCGGCACAGAGCCCAGCCCATCATAAATATTTGTGAGCATGGGGATGGATGGATGGATGGATGGATGGATGGATGGATGGATGGATAGATGGATGGAAGGATGGATGATGGATGGATGAACGGATGGATAGACGTGTGGGTACTTCACATGAAGTATCACAAAACCTCTCACCAAAGAGTTGGCCCTGCCCCTGCTAGGGAGTCCAGACGTACTTTGCTAGGTTGATCTCTTACAGGCAGTTGGGGGTCACCTGCAGAGGCCACCAACCAGACTCAAGAACAGACTGTGCCCTGGGCACCCTTAAGACAACAGAGAGAGCACTGCCCTGGAGGGCTTCCCTGGACCCTGATCCCCGGGGCCCACCCGCCAGGCTGCTCCAGAAAACCAGCGCACCCTTATCTTATCTCTTGCAGATTCTCCAGTAACAGCATTGGTGATAAAGGTGCCGAGGCCCTGGCTAAGGCCCTGAAGGTGAACCAGGGCCTGGAGAGCCTGGAGTGAGTCTGCCTGACCACACTCAGGAGTGGCCGTGGGGAGTGGGTGACATCCCTGGGTGGGTGACAGATGGGTCTAGGCGTCCCATCTAGAAGGTGGGCAGGTCCCGGAAGAGGGCTGTCAGTCAGGGCCACCACCCTGCCGGGATCCAGCCAACCGCCAACCCTGGGCACACTGTGATCTCGGTCTCTCTCCATGCCTACCTCACTGTTCCGTCCCACCCACCAGGTCCATTTCCCTGGACAGCAGAGGTTGGTGTTGGTTCTGGAGTTTCCAGAGTCACAAGCACCAAGTCCCCCTAGGCTGGCACTGGTGACTCAAGAGGGTTGCAGCTGCAACCCCACCCTGGCTGCAGACACAACGCAAACCCCTTCTCTGGGCCATTTAGAGCCACTCAAATCAAGGCAGAGTCTAAACTTTGGGGGCTGGTCACACTAGAGCCACCTGCCCTGACCTAGCAGGGTCTGGAACGGGTGGGGGATGGGGACAGGAAGGAGGGATGATGAGAAGAACACCCAGGGTCCCCCAACTCTGTTGAGCCCTACACCTTCAGTCCCCAAGCTGGAACAGTGGCTCCCTGGGGGTCCGGGACAACCATCCCAAGCGCTGCCCCGTCCTGTTTGCAGCCTGCAGAGCAATTCCATCAGTGATGCAGGTGTGGCGGCGCTGATGGGGGCCCTCTGCACCAACCAGACCCTCATCAGCCTCAAGTAAGTCCCGCCTTCCCTCTCCGGCCGGGGTGTCCCTTTGGTCAAGGGGTCTGAAGGGCCTTTGGGACTTGGGAGGAAAGGCTGGGGCTGGGAAGGCCACACCTCCCTCTGTGGGTCCATTAGGAAGACATCTGTGGTTGGGCAGCTGGGTCCTGGAGCATCCTGGGTCCCGGAGCCTGTGGCATCCCACCCGCTCTGGAGGGCAGGGGACAGCAGGGGACAGCCGGGGTCCTCAGCTGGCCAGTTCTGCTGCTCCCTCTGCTACACGAGCTTGTGAGGCAGCCAAGCATGCTCACCTGCCCCCGTCCCCTCGCCTGAGGGCCCATCAACCGATCCGCTCCCTCCTGGGTGGTCCCACTGTTGGCAGTCCCACAGGGAGATGCTTGGCCGGCCGGGGAGCCCTGCCTGTCGGAGGCCCTTCGCACCCGATCGCTCAGGACGCCCAGGTCACCCCTGAGGTTCCTTGGGTTTGAGAAGCCTGAGTGCCAGGGGTCGTGTCCCCCAAGTCCCCACGTATCTGGTCAGCAGTTCAGGGTCTTCTCTCTCCCCAGCCTGCGAGAAAACTCCATCAGCTCAGAGGGAGCCCGGGACCTGGCTCAAGCTCTCTGCAGCAACAGCACCCTGAAAAATCTGGAGTACGTGAGTCGGGGGCGGGGTGTGCTTCCTACGGCCCCTTCAGGCCCAGGGTGACAGGGGGCTGCAGACCCTCGTCGCCTTGTCATTTTACAGGCTGGAGGGGGACCCGGTTGGGGAGGGGGAACCAGGAGACCTGGACTCTGGGGGCAGCCCCTCCACTGTCATGTGATAAGTAACCTGCAGATGAGGTTCGTGGGGACGCTGACTGCCCCCGTGCCCCACTCCCCGTGGTGATGTGAGGGGGGCCAGATCTTCAGGGCAGCGCAGTACAGGGATCAGGAGTGAGTCCTCCAGGGGGGATGATCTGCCCCGGGACCCTGTCCCTGTGGCTGTCAGGAAGGCACGTGCTTGGCACACACCAGCGCTCAATCAACACGAGCTAGGTGGGTCCTCGGGGAGGAGGGGGCCTGGATTCCCAGGTGAGCAAGGACGGGGGCTCCATGCCAGCAGGCTCCTGCTTACTCGCCGCTGATCCCTTCCTCCCAGCCTGACAGCCAACCTCCTCCACGACCAGGGCGCCCAGGCCATCGCACTGGCAGTGAGAGAAAACCGGGCCCTCACATCCCTCCAGTGAGTCTACGGTGCCCCCCACCCCTCCCTGTCCCCTCTGCAACGCTGCGGAGCCATCATACCCACTGGCATCGGGCTTCCCCACAACCACGGACTCAGGGGCTTCCAGTAGGCTGCGCCCTGCCCCCCCCCCCCCCCCCCCCCCCCCCCCGCTTCCTAGGGCTGATCCACTGAGAGGCCAAAGGTGGGAGGTGGGCACCCACCTCACGCCTCCAAGTACCACAAGCCTCATGCAGGGGCCATCTGGAGTCTTCATTTGAGCCCGTCCCTGTGCCCACCCCTAACCGCAGAGTGCTGACTGACCCCTTGGGACTAGACCCGAGGCGGGGTGCAGGAGTTGTGTCCACCAGTGGCCAGGACCCCGTCCTACAAGCACTCCTTCCCTGCCGTCAGACTCTCCTGGGAGGAGTCCCCTCTTTGTGCACCTTCCAGGGCCTCCCGGGCTCTGCTCTGGCCCACATGGTCACACGTGTCTGTGTCTGCCCAGCCTGCAGTGGAACTTCATCCAGGCCGGTGCGGCCAAGGCCCTGGGACAAGCACTACAACTCAACCGGAGCCTGACCAGCCTCGAGTGAGTGGGGCCTCGGCAGGGGCGGGGGAAGGGCAGGGCGGCAAGGAAATCTGAAACCTCGGGGTCCACCAGGCACGTGGCTCGGCTCGTGCCAAAGGCCCTCAGCACACAGCCTCCTCTGCCCTAAGGCCAGCGGGCGTGTTTCTGTTCTTACCTGTTTTGTTGTTTTTTAAACGGCTTTGTCGATACGTAATCCCCCTACCACAAAAATCTACCCAGATAAAGCGTACAATTCGCTGGCTTCTGGTATATTCACAGAGTTGTGCGACCATCCCCACAAGTGTAGACCATTTCCTTTAAACAAACCTTAAACAAACCCCCACACTCATCAGCAGTCACCCCCCATTGCCCCCGTGCCCCAGCCCCTGGAAACCACACGTCTGCTTTCTGTCTCTACGGAGTTACCTGTACTGGACACTTCACGTACGTGGGACTGAACGGCGTGTGACCTCTTGCCACCAAGGTCTTTCGTTCGGTATCAGGTTTCCAAGGTTCACCCAGGTTGCAGCAGGAATCAGGGCTTCATTCCTTTCTGTGGCTGAATCCTATTCCGCTGTGCAGATTGACATGCCATTTATCCCCTCATCTGTCGAGGAACATCTGGGTGGTTTGGACAGTTTGGCTCTCATAACGCTGCTGTGAACGTTCGTGTACAAGCTTCTGCCTGGACATACGCTTTCATTTCTCTTGGGCACATGAGCCAGTGGAGCCGCGGAGTTGAATGGGAACCCTGTCTCTAACCGTCTGAGTCTCGCCTGCTTTGGACCACGCCCATGGCTTCTCCCTTGGCATCCAGGATAGCCCATTTCTGGCTGGTTCTTCTGTCGCACTGACATCCTGGGGCTCCTCAGGGATCTGTTCTAGGCCATCTTGTCTCGAACGAGCTCTCTATTCCAGAAGCTGTCCTCTCGCACACTCCTGGACTTCAAAGTCCCGGTGCCCCCGCATCTAGACCCCTCTCTCCTGAGCCCCAGACCCACGTAATCACTGCCCACGCTGCCTCCCCACGAGTCTGTTCTCAGCTCCGCCTCACGAACGGGCCCGGCCAACCCGGCCTGCAAGCTAGAAACATCGTCTCTGTTCTCGCTTCCCACTTGCGACTCTCCTCCCAAGGCCCCACCATCTCCCTCTACCCTCGCGGCCACCGTCAGGCCACCAGCTCCACTCACCCTGCGTCCCCGTAGCAGCCTCCACATCCAGTCCATCCGCTCACACTGCTGGCCAAACATCTTTCCAAAATGTGTATCTGTCCCCGTCCCGAGATGCTCCAATGGCTGCCCAGTGCCTGCAGAGTGAAACCCACCCCTCGGTGTGGCTTCTAACAAAGGCCCCAAAGGCCTGCTTCTGTCATTTCACACGCCAGCCACTTGATGCCATTTCTTTGGGTTCCGTGGATGTGCCAGGCCCCCTCCCCCAACTCTCATCCTGCAGGTTTCAGTTCAGACCTATTTCTCCCGGTGGCCTCCGTGACCACACGGGGGCAGGAGACCCCACGGGCTCCTCCGTCCCCCCAGCACGTGGCCCACGGTGCCGGCTCGTTCAGTCACAACCGCCCACCTGAGACAGGATCAGGCCAGGGCACCACACACACTAACACGTCTGCTAAAATCGCGAATGCAAACTGCTCCCTTCAACACCCCAATGCCCACCCGAGGTAAACTCTCCATCATTTACTGCGCTAGGAACTGACTTTACTCCAATGTGGAAGGGAAGGAAAAAAAAAAAAAAGATGTAAAACCCTGACGAGCAAGAATGGCCAGGGACTAAGGGCTTCAACTGAATTCTCTGGCTGGCACACCCATTTTTTTGTCCTCACCCTTGAGAGTATTTCCACTTGTCCCTTTTCTTGTTTGCTTCTGATGATCCAGGTTCATAGAGACCCCAGAGCCCTCTGCATGTTAATTAGGAGGCCGCGGGGTCGGTTATCCCCTCGGCAACCCTGGGAGTCTAGTCTGTGGTGTGCGCAGTATGAATGAAAACTAGAAGGTCCAAGCTCAGGACGTCATGATGGAGTGCCGCTAGCCCCGTGCCCTGTGAGCCCGGGGGTCACGCTCTGTGTTCAGTTTGCAGGAGAACGCCATCGGGGACGAGGGCGCCTCCGCACTGGCCAGCGCACTAAAGGCCAACACGGCCCTCACCGCTCTCTAGTAAGTGTTGACGTGCACGGCCGCCCAGGCAGCCAGCCCTGAGCCCTGCTTTCATACCAAACATCAGTGTTGCTTCCCAGCCAAGAAGGTGTTAAATTTTCCTAATGTTAGCAATTGGGACAAAGTAAGAAGTAGGGGTTCAGGGAGTGTTTTTCCTCAAACCCTCCAGGGAACCACCTCTGCTTCCCGTATCGGTAGCATCCCGATCTCTGTCCTCGGCATCAGGGGAGGCCGGAGGCGCGGCGTTCTCTGGACGGATCACAGGCCAACAGTTTTCAGCACTATGTTGTCACTTGCAGCCCTCAGTCCAGGGGTGGAGAAGGAAGGACAAGGACGCATGGAAGCTGGGCCAGGCAGGGTGCAGGCCGGAGCGCCCCAGCCTGTCCGCACTGACCCCTTCTCTTCTGCATAGTCTGCAGGTGGCCTCCATTGGTGCCCGGGGGGCCCAGGCGCTAGGGGATGCCCTGGCTGTGAACAGGACCTTGGAGATTCTCGAGTGAGTATTCCAGTCTCTGGTTGCTGTCTCTTACCCAAACGAACCAAGCTGTTGATTCAAAAGGAAGATACAGAAGGGAAAAAATGTCAATTTACATGGAAAGTCACAAACCACTTAAATATCGTCACTGAGATGAAGCCTTCCCCAGCTTCCCCGCTGCCACCTCATACCTCTTCCCTGGGAGTCACCTCTGTGGCTCCTGCTCTCCTCGGTCTTGCCCAGGCTGCGCACATCCTGAGGTCCTCTGTAGGGGTCCTTGGCCACTGACCTTGGTCTAGGAGTAGATCCAAACCCCGGGAGGGGGCGGGGGCAGGGGCAAGGGCGACTTAAGCTCAGTGGGGGTCTCAGGCATGTCTCAGTCATTCCTGCTCTTGTGGTCCTGTGATGCTGAGCATGTGGGGACCGCTGGAGGAAGTGTCTCCTCTCTCACCTCAGCCCCACTCTCCTTCCTTTGGGATGGAGGGCGAGGGCTCCAACGAACCACCCAGGTTGGGCCAGCTTCACCCCTCCTGGTGCGTCCTGCTCCCCAGAGCCGATCTCTGTTCTGGGCTGGGGAGTCAGGAAGGAGGAACCGCCCCCCGTGGTTGCTACGTCCCTGCTGCCTCTACCCAGCGGCCCATGCTCGTCTGAGGAGGTACTGTTTACACCCCACAGCTGTCACTGTGCTTTAGGCTTCGTATCTTTCCTGACAGCTTAAGAGGAAATGCCATCGGGGTGGCCGGAGCCAAAGCCCTGGCAAATGCTCTGAAGGTCAACTCAAGTCTCCGAAGACTCAAGTGAGTGGTTGTAGAGACCTACCTCCACCCTGGCACAGCAGACTTCTCTGCTGGAACCTCCCCACGTAATGAGATGCTCTTGACTTCCTCTGTAAGCCGCTTCCCTCGGACTAGAAATAGCACTAGAGTCCACGTTGCAGATGAGTTTGTTCATTCTATCTAGCTTATGTCAGAGGTAAGCCATTTAATGCCTGCGTTTTTGGTCTTCCATCCTCCATGGCGCTCGGACGGGACCACCTGGCTACCGGTAGACACTGGTCTCAGGGGTAAAGGCCACCTTGCTCTTGCTGGGGCACCTGTGATCGATGCAGCACTGCTTCCCGGCGCGTGTTCTGTCCCGAATGGCTCACGATGGTGTCTGCATCTTTTCTCTGCCTAGTCTTCAAGAGAATTCCTTGGGGATGGATGGGGTGATCTGCGTTGCCACGGCACTCTCTGGGAACCACGGCCTCCAGCACATCAAGTGAGTGGGGCTCGGCCCTTCCCTGCCATTCTGCCCCCCCCTCCCCCCCCCAGGCTCACGGCTCCCAGGCTCCCAGGTCTTTCAGCGGCTCTGCGGGGCAGCCGGGTATAAGAGGGAGCCATTCTGGGCCTTCCCCATAGGAGGGATCCTGGAAGCTTGGTCTTGCCTGGAGTTCTGCATTTTGTGTAGTGACTGTCTGCTCTTTACTAAAGGGACTTGCAGGCCTCTGGCCCTTGAGCCCCTCTCTCAAGCCAGGTCCGAATCCTTCTCTTCCAGCCTCCAGGGAAATCACATTGGGGAGTCTGGCGCCAGGATGATCTCGGAGGCTATCAAGACCAACGCTCCTTCGTGCACTGTTGAAATGTGAGCGCAAACATGCCTGGTGGATCAGGCGAGAGAACACAGAAGCAACTGGAAGCTTTTGAACAAAAACTCCCCGTCCAAGGCCCGTCCCTGTGGTCCGGGAACGATGCTGACCTGCACAAAAGCTGGTCTCCTGCAAGAGGCAGGAGGGATGCTGCCAAAGGGGTTGGGAGCACCTCTCCCGGCCCAGGTTTCGACCAGGCAGGGGTGACGCAGATTCCCTGCTGTGGCACAGAGGAGGGAAGGTGTCTGCCATGGGACGCAGGGACATAGGCCTTAAAGCCCAGCCGGTGAGAAGCGGGCGTGAGTTTCTTCATACCCCGAGGTCTTCACGCGCCCCTTTTGTTTTCATTGTCCTTTTCCAATGGTTAAAAATCATCCCCTCACTCTAAAGTGAGCTGTCACCTTCAAGCCTATGCAGAGTATCCGTTTGGCATGGGTGACAGAAGGGACCTTCCTTTTCTCAAGAACAGAAGGTTTTAGGAGTATGATCCTCAGAGATACACGGAAAAACTGTGAGACTTGCTTTGAAGAGAAATTAAGGCTTCGAGTTATAAAATTCCGGACACAGAGACTAAGCTCTCCAAGGTTTTTGCCGTCTTTGATCCGTTACCAAATCTCTCAAAGGCAAGGATTACGTCCGACACACGTTATGTGGGGTCTGGCACACTGGTCGTCAATAGCGTGTTACATGTTGACGCCTCAATGTTATTCTACAGCCGGCTTCCCAGACCGCTGCTGCGCCTGCAGTGTCCCCATGAAGGCGACATCAGGCTTCCCAGACCCCTGCTGTGCCTCTCGTGTCCCCATGCAGGCGAGCAAGCGGAGTTCCATGTGGCACAAATTCCCTCAGGGGTTGGTTGGTCTGTGATGAAAGGAAAAAGTTCCCAAGTGGACACCACAGTTCTCACCAACTAAAAAACCAAGGAAAATGCTTATCAAGATTTTACAGTTTGAACACGAATTGATGTTGTTCCCAATGTTCCCTTAAAAATGAGTATTCGGGCAAGAATCATCAATGTACGCGAAAACCATGGGTGACAGCCTATCGAGGAAGAAGCTATCCACCCCAAAGGGATACTTACAAAGGGGAATTATCAAATATCACCCCACATGGGGCATTTACAAAGGGGAAAAAGATAACTTTAAAAATGGAAAATTTGGCAAATGCTTTCTTAACAACGTGGTCAAACTTACCATCAGCACGAATGGGAGAAATTGCCATCACGTGCTCCTGATGGGAGGTGCTGACGACACATCGCCGATGCAGTATTCTCACCAAAAATATGGATTTGACTCTAATCGGGAAGGAGCAGTCAGACAAAATCCAAATCGAGAGGCATTCTGCAAAAAACAATAGCCTGACCTCTTCAAAAATATCAATGTCATGAAAAATACAAAAGGCCGGGGACTGTCTTAAATTGTAGATTAAACAGACATGACAACTTGATGCAGGATCTCTGACTGGATCCTCGACTGCAGAGAAACAATCAGCTATAAAGAAAAGTATTTGGAAATGGGAGACATTTGAATATGGGTCTTGGGTAGTATTTATTTGGATTACTGGCTTTTGAAAGTTATTTTTGCTACTTCAGAATGGTTTTTGGCTCTTAGTACTCTCAAGGTGTGGCCATGCTGTCTTCCGGTTTGCGCAGTTTCTGGCTGAGTGGAGAACTCGACAGAAAAAAAGATGTGGTAGCCAAATGCCGGAGAAAGCCGTGCCCTGCAGGAACCTAGCCACCAAAGAAACCTCAGGGGCCAAAGCAGCGGAGAAAAATCGTGCTCTCCAGGGACTCCGGGAGCAAGCCGCCTCCCTAGCAGCCTACTGACAAGGCTCTATATGTCGCCAGCCAGCAAAGGAGAGAGATTTACAAGGAATAGCTCTGTTATCACAGAGCAGACCAAACGGTGAACTGGAGCGAGGCAATAAACCCATAAACAGCACGGTGGGACTTGTCTTTTTCTTTTTCATTTTGAACAGTTTCTACTGCTGTGTCTTCAGGGTCAGTATGTGCTCTTCTGTGGCGCCTCATCTGCTCTCAATCCCAGTTTTTGTTTTTGTTTCTTTAATCTCCCCAAGTTTTGAGATTTTCTTTAGGCCTTATCTCTTAATACGCTCCTGCCTCCCTCTGCCATCTCAATATAGGGAGTACAGTTAAATGTCTGAATGTCCTTTCCTACTAATTCTGTCATCTGTCATTTGAGTATGGGGGGGGTGGTCATTCCTTGGTCTCTTTCTTGATTCTTATTATGCCTGGTAAGTTTTGATTGGACACCAGACACAGGGAATTTTATCTTGTTTCATACAGACTATTTTTATATGCCTTCAAATTCTTGAGCTTAATTCTGGAACACATTACTTAGAAACAGCTGCATCCTGTGGTGCCTGGGTGACTCAGTCAGTTAAGTGTCCAACTCTTGATTTCGGCTCAGGTCGTGATCTCACGGTTGGTGGGATGGAGCCCTGGGTCAGGCTCTGTGCTGATGGCAGGGAGCCTGCTTGGGATTCTCTCTCTCTCTCTCTCTCTCTCTCTCCCTCCCTCCCTCTCTGCTCCTCCCCTCCTCACATTCTCAAAATAAATAAATAAACAATGGAAACCAATTTGACAATAAACTTCATATATTGAAAAAATAAATAAATAAATAAACATTAAAAAAAAAAAAAGAAAGAAAGAAAGAAACAGCTGGATCCTTTCAAAGCTTACTGTTTTCAGCTTTGTTGGCCAGGACCAGCCACCCTTAAGTTCAGGGCCGCTGTGGCCCAACTTGTGAGGCAGTGTCTCAGTATTCTGGGTGCTCTACCTGATGCCCAAGTCAGAAAACTGTTCTGGAGCCTTACCTACAACAGATGCTGTAGACATCCAGGTGTAAAAGATCGTGCAATCCATCTCAGCCTTCGCACTCCTAACGGGAGCATCAGCCCGAGTGGTTATCTGGTGTGCGCCTGATGTTTCCAATACACAATATGGATTTAAGCAGGACTCCTAACGAAGACTTTGCTTCATCAGTCATGCACACTCTCTCTTATAGAGTCAACCCTTCCCATTCCACAAACCAGTTCCCTCCAGCTTAAAAAAATCCTCGTTTTCCTCTCAAAACACAAAACAAAGCTTCCTCTGCCCCTCCAAAATGTTCTTGGCCACACTCTTCTCCCCTGGCTGGGCCCTCTCTTTTCACTTGGGACCACCCCCCTTGCGGAACACTCATCAACATTCACCGTGTTGGCTTCGCATTCTGACCTCTCTTCGACCCATCGCGTGCCGACTGCTCCCGGCTGAGGTCGCCACGGATTTCCTAAGTGCCAATGTGGCTCGTTTTGACTCCGGCCCGTTGAGGAGGAGGATTTAGCTCGCTCACCCCTCCCTTCTGTGGAAATTCTCCCTGCCTTGGCTTCCCTCACACAACCTTCCAGCCCTCCTACCTTCTCGTCACTCTTCTTCAACAGTCTTTGGAAAATAAAACATATTTCCCCCGAATTATTAAGGCAAAATACAGTCACTTTAGAACATTTAGCAAATACTTTCCCAGTCTCGCTTCCTGGCCCCTTGTGGCCTTTGCCTCCGAGACACAGCATTTCTCAGGCTTCCAACCTTGGCTCTCTTCCCACCCCACGTGTTCTCCCCCGAGCAATCTGAGGAAAATGATCTTCAAACCTCAGTCTCCAGCCCTTACCCTTTTCCTGTCTGTAGATTTACCTTTTCCGAAATTCATTTCATCAAAACAACACAATACACCTAGTTTAAAAAGCCAAAAATGACCAGGCTTATAACGGAAAACAGCAGCCTTCTGTCTTGTTCCTCCCCTTCCTGTACATTCCCACTCCCAAAACTACATACCCTACGTACACTGTTCCTTGCTTTATCATCTTCGAGGTTATCTAGTGACCTCTCCATGGGAAATGGCACTTGGATGTACGTTAGCTTACATTCCCACTCTGTTTCTCCTTCTTTCCGACGGAGTTAGAGCATGGTCTTTGTAGACATCGTCAGTGTCCGTCTTTTAACTTTATTACCATTGATCACTCCTGCGCCATTTTCTCCTATGGACTTTATCGTTCTTAGAATGAACAGTGCACCTTTTTTAAAAACTCCATTTTCTGTGTCACTATGGCTTAATTCTTTCCGAATCGCCCAAGAGAAGTGTACAATCAGAATACCGTTTCACAGACACACTGGTTTTTCCATCAGTTACGTTTTCCCCTCACGACATCCCTGCTTGAGCTCTCGCTCCTCCTCTTCCACTCACATCCTCATTGCAAGGACTTTTGTTCCGGGCAGTTTGAGTTCTCTTGCAATTCAACCAGTGCCGGATTCCAGCACCTCGGAGTCTCCCGGGCCAGTCTAACCACTGTGGTATTTATGCGGCGTGTTGCTAACTTCAGCCAAACCCACTTCCTTTCAGACATTCGGCACGACACCATGTTACAGTTTAAAATGCGAACGAAAGAGCGCTTGCAGATATTCTGCCCGGCCCGGCCGAAACAGCGAGTTCTTCAGACCTCCCAGTGCGAGAAGTCCTTGGACTTGGTTCTTGATGGCTACCACCAAAAAAAATTAACGACTTAAAAACTTCCTTGACATTTTCAGTCAATACACATCTGGAAAGCATTTTAAGAGGTCCTTTAGTTACACGGCTAAAAGCAAAGAACTATTGGCAATGATCTAAATGAGGGTTTTTCATTGACCTAACCAGACAATCTTCTTTGGGGCCCGAGTCTGTTCTGACGCTTGGCCCAAAAGACACGAGGTCATCAAGCTCTTGTACATATCTGACTCCTGGATCTGTTACAGTGACAGACACACACTGGTAACTACGATCAGGTACTTGAAGCTCCTTTGCTGACAGAAGCTGCCCGAGGAAGGAAGTGTCACTCCATGGGGAGACTGTGCAGTAGTTAACCAAGGGATGAGGGACCACGAAGGAAGAGGTGACATAATAAACCTCACACGGCACTGGAGCCTCTATTGGAGGAGGGGTTACCTGCAGCTTGGGTCAGGCTCCCGTTAATGCCCATGAGAAGAAAGAATCACGTAAGGAAGGGGCGCCTGGGGGCTCAGTGGGTTAAGCGTCTGTCTCTTGATTTTGGCTCAGGTCATGATCTCACGCTTCATGAGTTCTAGCCCTGTGCTGGGCCCTGAGGTGACAGTGCAGAGACTGCTTGGGATTCTCTCCCTCCCTCTCTCTCTCTGCCCCTCCCCGGCTTGTTCTTTCTCTCTCAAAAATAAATACATAAACATTTTTTAAAAAAAGAAGAAAGCATCACAAAAGGAAAAGAGAAATACATTTTTTGGTTTTTTGGGTTTTTTTTTTTTTTTTCAAAAGGTAGGTCAGAGTCAGGGAAACCAAAATGATAACATCCAGGACAATGCAGTGGAAGGCAGGGCTCTGCGGGGGTTAGCACAGCGCCCACACACCCCATTCCCTGTGAGTGCGTCATTTCAAAGAGGGCACATCTCCATCACTGCCAAATTAACCAAATGCCGTTTTAAAACAGGAGTAATCTCTTGGGAATGCAAGCTGGTGCAGCCACTGTGGAAAACAGTATGGAGATTCCTCAAAAAACTAAAAATAGAACTACCCTACGACCCAGCAGTGGCACTACTAGGTATTTACGCAAGGGATACAGATATGCTGTTTCGAAGGGGCATACGCACCCCATTGTTTACAGCAGCACTATCAACAACAGCCAAATGATGGAAAGAGCCCACATGTCCATAGATGGATGAATGGATAAAGAAAATGTGGTGTATATATATACAATGGAGTATTACTGGGGAATCAAAAAGAATGAAATCTTGCCATTTCCAACTATGTGGATGGAACTGGAGGGTATTACGCTAAGTGAAATTAGTCAGAGAAAGACAAATATCATAGGACTTCACTCATATGAGGACTTTAAGACATAAACCAGATGAACATAAGAGAAGGGAAACAAAAATAATATAAAAACAGGGATGGAGACAAAACAGAAGAGACTCATAAATGTGGAGAACAAACGGAGGGTTGCTGGAGGGGGTATGGGAGGGGGATGGGCTAAACGGGAAAGGGGCATCAAGGAATCTACTCCTGAAATCATTGTTGCACTAGATGCTAATGTGGATGTAAATTAAAAAAATAAAAATTAAAAAAAAAAAAGGAGTAATCTCCGGCACAGGAGTTGGGAAAAGATAGAGGAAACAGCAAAGATGATAGAAATAATCATCACATTATCTCCTAAAAGTTGACATGTACACAGTAACCTGTGAACTTTTCTTAAATAAGTATTTTACATTATAGGTGAATATAAACAACGTAATTATAGTTTCAAGTAAAACTTATTTAATAATATAAAAATACGGTATTAAATACATTTGTTAAGAGTTAAGTAACTTCAGAAGTCTTCTGCGTTCATAACTAAAAAATCTGTGAGAGCTGCTCTGCGTTTCCGTATCAGAAATACGACACAACTCCACCTGTCACTTCTCACTTCACATCAGCAACATTATCCTAGTGCTACTCAACCTAATGCAATCCTGGTTAAGTTTTTTAGTCAGAAACACCTTTCCTTTAACTAGCTTTCCTAGGAAGGGATGTCAACCTTCTGAGAGAAAATGAAGTGCTTCTATTCTGGAGCGTCTCTCTGTTGCCTGGATTTGAAGGAAAGTGGGTTTTCATCTAACTTACCTAACTTTCATTCAGGAAATTTTAGTAAAATACATTTAAAGCTTGGTATTGCAAACATGCAGAAGAAAACAGGACCATACAACGAAATAAAAGCTAGAATTAAAAGCCGAAGTACAGTAAATGTTCTAAATTGTACAGGTCAAGAGGAGTCAAGTGCCTCCCCACCCCCCTCCGGCCAATTCCTGAACTGAGTCCTGTGCCCAGCCCGGGTCTATCCCCCCCACCCCCGACTCTTGGCAGAAACGCTTGACAACAACTGCCAAGATGAACAGCGTGGGCCCTTATTTCTCCTCGGGTTTTCGTCCTGTGGAGGTGCATCTCTTAGAACACAGGCGTTTCCCAAGTTCGCTGAAGCTCTGTGGAGTAACCCGGAGGAGGCTAAAGACCGAGGTGTTGCTTCATTAACAAGTCCAGCTGGTTTAGTGCGTGAAATCGGTTTCCCTCCTAACCTTCTAACTTCCCGTTTACCTACAGATCTGAGGGATTTAATCTGTCCGGTCTCTTGGCACAAAGGTCAGAAGTCATTGTCGCTCTCATCCAGGGGCTCAGGTTTCCGGACCCTTCGACTGGGCTTCGCTGGCGAGACAGCAACGCTCTCGTCTTCCAAATCGTCGTCGTCTTCATCGCCCTCCATGTCAATCTCACTGTCCTCCGAGTCCTCCTACAGGAAGACGGCAAACACAGCTGACGGCCCGTCTCTTTCTGACAGCTTGTCAGCAGAGGCCCCTTTCCACCAGTAGCTCAGTTAACTAGCAACACCCACATGTGAAGGAAGAGCTCGGCAGAGAAGCAGTGGGGCGTGGGGCGTGAGAAGGGGACCTTTGTTGGCTCAAAGACCAACATAAACGGATCATCTAAGCAGTGATCCTCAGATACGAGCATGCAGTCTACACCCGGTGCTGCAGGGGCCAGCTTTCCCGCTGAGGTCTCAGAAACACCACCGGATGCCGCTCTGCTCCGGGGGCCCAGAGACCCACTAGTGGATAACAAGGACCGAGGGGCTTGGAGATTAGGAAGGGGGTTTATTTTGGCTTTTACCAGACTGGGGGTGGAAAGCCACCCGGGAATTGGGCAAAATAAAAGGAACACTGTGTCCCTCGCCTAGATCTGGGGTGACCAGCTCAGGCGGGCTTTAAAGCTGCAAGTGCTGGGGCACCTGGGGGGCTCGTTCAGTTAAGCTTCTGCCTCTGGACTTCAGTTCAGGTCACGATCCCATGATTCGAATGTTTGAGCCTGTCACTGGGCTCTGCGCCCACAGCACAGAACCTGCTTGGGATTCTCCCTTTATCTTTCTCTCTGCCCTTCCCTCACTAGCACTCTCACATGCGCTTTCTCTCTCTCTCTCTCTCTCTCTCAAAATAAATAAATACACTTGAAACCCAAAACTGTAAGTCATGCGTCCCAGGTAAACCAAGATGGCTCGAGCCAGACCACTCCCACCAGCATACATTCATGCTGCAATTTCCTTCTTAAAAACACAAAACAACAACCCTCAACTTAATCCCATCTTCCTTGCCAGCTACTCTGCCCTGTTCCTCTGCACCCCCCTCCCCTGGCAACAGTGAAACTCCTTGAAGGAGTTCTGAACCCACCACCCCATTGGCTCTCCTCTCACTGTGTCCTCAACATACTCAGCAGGCTTCACCTGCCAATCCCCCGACTGCTCTTGAAACAGAGGAATTCAAATCCAATGGGCGCAGCTCCGGCATCTGGTGTGACCTCCAGGCTGCGCCTTCTTGCTTGAAAGCCACCCTGTGCTGCAGGGCGCCCTTCTCTCAGGTGCTCACCCCACTGCACTCCTGCATCTTCCAATCTCACGCGCCCCTACACCCTCCGTCTTTCTGACTCTATGACGCGGCTCAGCTCAGAGCTCTGAGGCTCCCTCCTCTCCTCTTTCTACTCTCTCCCCTCACACAATCACATGTATCCTTGCAGTCCGAACACGGCCTAATATGATGGCTTCCCAAACTCAACTCCAGCCCAGGCCTGACCCTTGAACTCCAGACTTGAATTCCAACTGGCCGTTCGACCCCAGCACGTGGATGGCTGGCAGGCACTGCATGCGTAGCATGTCCCAACCCCAACTCCTGCGCTGCTCCCCAAGCCCCACCCACCTCGGGACATGCCAAGGCTACCTGTGCCGTCAGCCAGTACGCCACAAGCTGGGGTGTCCCTCATTTCTCGTCCTCTCACACCCCATGTCTAGTTAACACAACTTCATGGTCCAGACCATGGAAACATCCAGAATCCGACGACTTCTTAACACCTTCGCTGCTACCACCCTAGGCTGAGCCGCCAGCCCCTCCGGCTCCCGCAAGTGCCTCCTGACTAGGGTCTCTTCAACGCCGGTCGGCTCTGGCACAGCCGGGCTCGCGGTCCTCGGCCCCTTCCCACGGCACTCAGAGAAAACCCCGGGTCCTCATCAGGTCCTGCAAAGCTCTGGCGGCCCCCGCTCCCCGTCCTGCCGCTCCTATCTGCCATCCACTCCATCCCAGTCGCACCACCGTCTCTACACCGCCAAAGCAGGAGCCACATTCCCTGTGTTCTGGATGCCCTTCCCTGCACCACGTCCCTCCTTCCGTTCAGGCCTCTGCCAAATGTCACCCGGTCACAGAGACATTCCCTGACCGATCAAAAGACACCAACCTCCTCCCTCAACCCTGTCATTCTGTTCCCTGAACTGCTTTCTTTTCTTCTTGCCACTATGACCCGACGTATTCCCTTGGTTACTGCCGGAACGTGAGCTTCCTAGAGGCGGGGACGCATTCCCCACCATCTGTAACACCTGCACGTAACAGGCACTCAGCAAGCGTCTGTCGTGCGGACGAGTGCGCACACGAAGGACAAGCCCGTACGCCTGGGCCAGGTGGAGGCGGCCTCCCTAAAACCAACAAGCGACAACAGGCGCAGAGGACGTGTGAGCTGTCACTCGGGCATTTGTTCTGAGACGAGAGAGCTATGCGCCTGAGCAAGCAGATCATAAGACAAGGGAGCCGACGGTGCCTTTCGGGCATCCCCAGCCCCCACACCAGACTTCCTATTCGTGCCACGAATGGGTAAGACGGGTGGGCAGAAGCTATTTGAGCATCCAGCCCGACTCTGTTAAACATGTTTGAGGTGGTTTCTCTGCTTCTCGAAGACTACCTTCTGCGATTCCAAGGCCCCACCTTCTCTGCGCATCTTGCCCAGCAAACCCTCTCCCTCTGTGGATTTCGGTAACAATACACAATGTTGGCACTAAATAGAGGGATCTTTTGTACAAGAATGTCAACTCCTGCTCTGTCCCTGTGCAGCCACTAGAGCCACACTCCAGACACAGGTGGCACACGACCTGATAAGGAGGTCTGTGCTCTGTCAGCCCAGTCACCCCTTGTTTCTGGGGCCTCACAGGCTTGCCAGGGACTGCCACCAAGGCAGGCCCGGGGCAATGGACGGTGCAGCCCCACCTGTGGGGCCCTGGCAAGGACCGGGTTCCCCATCCCGGTTCGTTTCCCCGTCAGTATTAAGTCAGTGACACTCAAGGCACCGGCAGCCTGATGTCCCAGCCTCTTGCCCAGCCTCTCTGAGGCCCTGGTCTCAGGACAGCCTCCTTTTCCGTTCCCTCCCCAGAATGGAACTGAAGAGAGGGTTGGTCTTGACCCCGGGACCTCAGCAGGTTCCATTCTTTTCTAGGTTACAGTTCAAGGGCCTAACGACCTTTCTTGTCTCGTGGCTCGCACTCACCCCTCCTCCTCAGCATAGGGAAGTTCTCCGATCTCTGTGGGACCTGGATGGCGTGGCTCTCACCCAGGAGACAGAGCCATCACTGGGAGGGAAGGCTCTGCTGGCCCTGAACAGGCCAACACACACACACACACACACACACACAGACACACAAAGACACACAGACACACAGACACACACACACACACACACAGATGAGGTGTAGGCCCTGAGCAGGCTCACACATACACATACACACACACACACACACACAGAGACACACACACAGATGAGGTGTAGGCCCTGAACAGGCCAACACACACACACACACACACACACAGGCACACACACACAGATGAGGTGCAGGCCCTGAGCAGGCCAACACACATATACACACACACAGACACACAGAGACACACACACACACAGACACACACACACAGATGAGGTGTAGGCCCTGAACAGGCCAACACACACACACACACACACAGACACACACACACACACACACACACAGACACACACACACAGATGAGGTGCAGGCCCTGAGCAGGCCAACACACACATACACACACACAGACACACAGAGACACACACACACACACAGACACACACACACAGATGAGGTGTAGGCCCTGAGCAGGCCAACACACACACACACACACACACACACACACACACACACACACAGATGAGGTGTAGGCCCTGAGCAGGCCAACACACACACACACACACACACACACAGATGAGGTGTAGGCCCTGAGCAGGCCAACACACACCACACACACACACACACACACACACACACACACACACACACACAAGATGCAGCCCGGAGCAGGCTCACACACACACACACACAAACACACACACACACATGAGATGTGCCCCTGAGGAGGCTAACACACAACACACACACACACACACACACACACACACACACATGAGGTGAAAAGAAAACCAACCTGCTTCTTGGAGCTGGAAGTCCTGCACTGACCTAAGAGAGCTGGTGCTGCTTCCGTCTTTGGAAAGCGAGAATGGAAAGAACAGGGAGAAGGAAAAAAAGCGGGGGTGGGAGGGAAAGCACATTCATTGGAAAAGAAAAGAGCCATCAACACATCAACAAGCAGAGGAGAGTCCAGCTCCTGGGGGGCCCAGCTCTGCTGCACGCCCAGCAGCGGGCTAGGCTGAGGCACACGGCTCGTCTACAAAGCCAGCCCCGGAGCAGGAAGAACGGAACAGCTAAGGGGAGCTCGTCAGGACTCACGTCGTCATCGGAGTCTCCACCCTGCATTGTGCCCACGATGAGTTTGCTAGGTCTTCCTAAGGAGAACCAAAGCATGAAGAAATTAGGAAAACCTCATTAAAAAAAAAAAAAAAAGGCGGGCGCCTGGGTGGCTCAGTCGGTGGGGCATCTGACTTCGGCTCAGGTCATGATCTCGCGGTCCGTGAGTTCGAGCCCCGCTTCGGGCTCTGGGATGACGGCTCAGAGCCTGGAGTCTGTTTCGAATTCTGTGTCTCCCTCTCTCTTTGACCCTCCCCTGCTCATGCTCTGTCTCTCTCTGTCTCAAAAATAAATGTTAAAAAAAAAAAAGGCAAGGAATGGTATTCAAGATTTGCTTTCCTTTAGAAAATTGGGGAAAACAAGAATCACGCTAAAAAATTTACTTAGGTAACATCCAAATAATCAAAACTATAATAAACCACAATAGATTTTCTTTCTTTTTTTTTTTTTAATTTAAAAAAAAATTTTTTTCAACGTTTTTTATTTATTTTTGGGACAGAGAGAGACAGAG